CAAGGCTTGGTTTTCTTCTATTTCTTCATGTCGGGCGGAGCCTCCCTCTGACATCATCACGCTGTCCGCCATCTTGGAAGTTTTTTTTTTTTTTTTTAATGCTTTAGTTTCTTTATTAACCTGTAAGTAGGATTTTATTTGCGCAAATAAAAAGGTACATTGTTCGTATAGCATGCTTTGTTTTCAATGACACTATCCTGACACCGCAATGGGGATGGCTCATTGATCTATGCGGATTCTGTGTCCTGACACAATTTGAGAGATCTTGGGTCCTGACAGGTTATGGAAATCTGGATGATAATTCATCGACATAAAGCTGATAACTCCCTATAGTTAAGGGGTCTTCTCATCTGGTAAGCGTCCATTTATTCACATAGTGTTGGTTTGTACATGATCGGTGATTAATTGGATGAAAGAGAATTTATATCAACAAAACTATATTCAAGGAACAAAAACTCCTCACAAATTTGTGGAGGTCATCATTCACGTGGACTTTATTGCCCTGTATATGGAATATTTTTACCTTACGGTCTTTATACACTAATTTGTTCACTCACTATGTTTATGGTTGTTTTCACATTTATGTTTTTTTTTTCTACACAGGGCAACATTTATAGGTTTTTGTTTTTTTTTTAAATACCTCGCGTGTGTTTTTTTTAGCACTATTTACATATGTGGGCGTGGCCTACATATGCGTTCACCACTGCGCATGAACACGGGGGGACGAGGGCACTATAAACATCTTTTATTTTTTATTTTATTTTTTTTTTTACACTGCCCCTTTAATTTAATTTTTTTTTTCACTTTTATTCCTATCACAAGGAATTGAAATTTCCCTTGTGATAGAAAAAAAGCAGTAACAGGTCCTCTTTATGGAGAAAAAAGACAAAGGCACTGGAACCTGAAGTGACGTAATGACGTCGCTCCAGTCCTCCAAGGGCATAGATGAGTGGAGGCCATCTTTCCTTCACTGATCTCTATGCCCATTGTCAGGATCGTTGGATGGGTTCTCAGGTAAGGCTGAGAACCACCGGGCGACCACGGGGCTGTTTTCGGCACCTGTGTCGGTGCCTATTTTCAAAGCCCGAGGTATTTTCAGTTTAAACGTTTTGGCCACCAAAATTTTGGTACATCCCAATCACAAATGATTTACTAACAGCAAAAACCAATGGACACTAAGAATAGAGTCCATTGGTTTTTGCTGTTAGTAAATGTACTCCTACTTCTGGACTAATCGGCTGCTTTTGATACAATTGACCACTCCCTTGGTATCCATGACTGTGCTCTTCGTTGGTTCTCCTCCTACCTATCCCACCGCATCTGCAGTGTCACTTACAATTCTACTTCCTCCTCTTCCTTTTTCTGTTAGGGTCTCCCAAGGTTCTGTTCTTGGACCTCTCCTATTCTCAATCTACACCTCCTCCCTGGGTTAGCTAATCAAGCCTCCCATGGCTTTCAATAACATTTCTACGCTGACAACACTCAACTCTACCTCTCTACCCCTCAGCTCACAACATCAGTCTCCTCACATATCACTAACTTACTGATCGACATATTAGCCTGGATGTCACACCACTTCTTCAAACTCAATCTATCCAAAACCAAGCTCATAATATTTCCTCCCCAGTGCGCCCCTTCCCCTGATTTCTGTGTCATGATCAATGGCACAACTATCAACCTGTACCCACACGCCAGGGTGCTAGGTGTAATCCTCTGAACTCTCCTTTCAGCACCACATCCAATCACTTTCCAAAGCTTGCCATCTCAACCTCCTGCAACATCTCCGAAATACACCCTTCCTAACCAATGACACCACAAAGCTCCTAATTCACTCCCAGGTTATCTCTCACCTCGACTACTGCAACTCCTTCCTCATTGGCGTACCTTTACATAGGTTATCCGCCCTTCAGTCCATCATGAATGCTGCTGCCAGACTCATCCACTTTGCCAACCATTCAGTGTCTGCTCTCTGCCATTTCCTCCATTGGCTGCCACTCACCCACCGAGTTAAATTCAAAATACTAACAATTAACAAAGCCATCCACAACTTGGCCCCCAGCTCAATCACTAACCTAGTCTCAAAATATCAACCAAATCACACTCTTCATTCCTCCCAAGACCTCCTGCTCTCTAGTTCCCTTGTCACATTATCCCATGCTCGCCAGCAGAACTTCTCCCAAGCCTATCCTATCCTATGGAATTCCCTAGCCCAATCTGTCCGACTATCTCCTACTCTGTCCACTTTTAGGCAATCCCTGAAGACTTTTTTTCTTCAGAGAAGCCTATCCTGCCTCCACCCAAAAATTGTACATGTATTTTCTTAATCGGCTCATCCCCCACAATAATTACCTTTTGTATCACTTGACCCTCTCCTTTTAGAGATTGTAAGGTCTAAATAAGCAGAGCCCTCTGCTTCCTCCTGTATTCAACTGTATTGTTTGCCCTCATATTGTAAAACGCTACGCAAACTGTTGCCGCTAAATATAAATCCTGTATATTAATAACTGGGAAACCCATCGCCAGATGAAAAATTTGATACCTGGTTCATGGTTCTAACAGCAGGCACAATCCTGGCATATCCACTTGTTCCCACAGTCATATACAGTGCCTTGAAAAAGTATGCACACCCCTTGAAATTTTCCATATTTTGTCATGTTACAACCAAAAATGTAAATGTATTTTTATTTGGATTTTATGTTATAGACCAACACAAAGTGGCACATAATTGTGAAGTGAAAGAAAAATGATAAATGCTTTTCAAAATTTTTTACAAATAAAAATCTGAAAAGCGTGGCGTACATTTGTATTCAACCCCCTTTTACTCTGATACCCCTAACTAAATTCTAGTGGAACCAATTGCCTTCAGAAGTCACCTAATTAGTAAATAGAGTTCATCTGTGTGTAATTTCATCTCAGTATAAATACAGCTGTTCTGTGAAGCCCTCAGAGGTTTGTTAGAGAACACTAGTGAACAAACAGCATCATGAAGGCCAAGGAACACACCAGACAGGTCAGGGTTAAAGTTGTGGAAAGGTTTAAAGAAGGGTTAGGTTAGAAAAAAATATCCCAAGCTTTGAACATCTCATGGAGCACTGTTCAATCCATCATCCAAAAATGGAAAGAGTATGGCACAACTGCAAACCTACCAAGACATGGCCATCCACCTAAACTGACAGGCCAGGCAAGGAGAAAATTAATCAGAGAAGCAGCCAAGAGGCCAATGGTAACTCTGGAGGAGCTGCAAAGATCCACAGCTCAGGTGGGAGAATCTGTCCGCAGGACAACTATTAGTCATGCGCTCCACAAATCTGGCCTTTTTGGAAGAGTGGCAAGAAGAAAGCCATTGTTGAAAGAAAGCCATAAGAAGTTCCATTTGCAGTTTGTGAGAAGCTATGTGGGGGACACAACAAACATGTGAAAGAAGGTGCTCTGGCCAGATGAGACCAAAATTGAACTTTTTGGCCTAAAAAGCAAAACGCTATGTGTAGCGGAAAACTAACACTGCACATCACCCTGAACACTCCATCCCCACCATGAAACATGGTGGTGGCAGCATCATGTTGTGGGGATGCTTTTCTTCAGCAGGGACAGAGAAGCTGGTCAGAGTTGATAGGAAGATGGATGGAGCCAAATACAGAGCAATTTGAGAAGAATACTTGGTAGAGTCTGCAAAAGACTTGAGACTGGGGCAGAGGTTCACCTTCCAGCAGGACAGCGACCCTAAACATACAGCCAGAGCTACAATGGAATGGTTTAGATCAAAGCATATTCATGTGTTAGAATGGCCCAGTCAAAGTCCAGACCTAAAACCAATTGAGAATCTGTGGCAAGACTTGAAAATTGCTGTTCACAGATGCTCTCCATCCAATTTGACAAAGCTTGAGCTATTTTGCAAAGAGGAATGGGCAAAAAATGTCACTCTCTAGATGGGCAAAGCTGGTAGACACATACCCAAAAACACCTGCAGCTGTAATTGCAGCGAAAGGTGGTTCTACAAAGTATTGACTCAGGGGGGCTGAATATAAATATAAGCCACACTATTCACATATTTATTTGTAAAATGTTTGAAAACCATTTGTCATTTTCCTTCCATTTCACAATTATGTGCCACTTTGTGTTGGTCTATCACATAAAATCCCAATAAAATACATTTACGCTTTTGGTCGTAACATGACAAAGTGTGGAAAATTTCAAGGGGTGTAAATACTTTTGCAAGGCACTGTATGTATGTATGTATGTATGTATGTATGTATGTATGTATGTATATAGTATATATATATATATATATATATATATATATATATATATATATTTTCACAGCTTTCAGGGTTGCCTACTTTAGTACAGATAGCAGCTGGAAGAAGTTTTGGGCTATGTTCTCTCACTTTCTCTATACAGCAGTTAACACAGAGTTGCTCTAACATCTGAATGTACAGGGGTCAATCACTGCCCCCCATCTCCTCTCCATACATCCCCTTTCCTGGCAGCAGTATTAAGAGACCTTTTATCCTTCTATTGACAGCGTGATGATGTATTAGCAGATAAGGCCTCACAACAGAAAATAATTAGCACTACACAGGAAATTGTGGGTGGTAAAGTCTCTCTTGAGGAAATACATCAGTCTCGCTGTGTCAACAGAGCAGAGAAAGTAGTCAGTTATTGGTCTCATGCTGGACACCACCTTTTTGAACTATTAGTAGACATTTTTAGAAGTACAAAAAGGTGAGAACAAACAGATTCAGGGAGAGCTTTTTTTCAAGCTATTAGGGCTATAAATAAGGAAATAAAATGAATTAGCCAAGTTGACTTTATGTATGGTTAGTACATGATTGAACAGGTGTGTTGTTTGTACTGTTTTTATGTTTATATAAAAACGGGAGGAGTTTTAGGAAATTTCATTGTCAAATGTTTTTTTGCAATGACAAAGTTTTTCTACCCTGCTGGCACTTTTTTGCATGTTTCACACACACAGAGCAGCACATCAGCATTGCTATACATACCATGCTCATATGGAGAGAAAGTTCCAGCATCAATGTTGATATATGGATCAATCTTGATAGAGGTGACATGCAAGTTACTAGATTTCAGGATTGTCCCAATGCTGCTTGCAATGATTCCCTTTCCAATACCAGAGATTACACCACCTGTCACCAGGATATACTTCATGTTGCCTGAGAATACAAGGAAAAAAAAAAAAATAAAGTTGGTTAATGATTTTAATTTTGTTTTTTAAAAGACAGAAGCCCTGCAAGATTTTACCTAATATTATTACAGATTTGTAAATGACATCAGTCTATGCTGAAATTAACCCTTCTATTACATGTTAGTTTTTAACATCAAGAACATAAAAGCTTGTAGTTTTTAAAGTGCATAAGAACACAGAGTTGACCCATGTCCTTCAAGAAAATTATTTACCAGAAAGTACAAAAAGACAGCAAAGACAGTCCAACTGAGGGGAGGGTAACACAGCAAACAAACGCTAATAGAAAACAACAGAGAACCAGGAACTTCCTGCAGCTTGGAGAGCTGTTTAAAAAGCCTTATGCCCCAAGCTGGCATCAGATGAGGCAGCAATGCCCACCTGGAAGAATTTAGAGAACATGTGTACAAAAGACCAGTTGGCAGTCTTGCAAATGTAGGAAAGAGTTGTTTGCAGTGGTGCACCGAATTGAAAATTCGGGTGCTGAAACCGAAACTTCAAAATGCACTTGGCCAAAAACCGAAATACGCAGTTTTTTTAAAAATGAATATATATTTTTCTGAATAAAATACACTTTGATTAAAAAAAACAATATATACCCCAATTGTTTTTTTAAAATATATGTAAGACGATGTTACGGCGAATAGATACCCAACATGTCACGCTTTAGAATTGCGCACGCTCGTGGAATGGCGTGAAACTGCTGTACTTAAAAATCTCCATGGGTGATGCTTTAAAACTTTCTACAGGTTAGCAGTGTAAAAGGTACAGAGGAGGTCTAGTGCGAGAATTAATTTCTCTTGCTCCGACGTTCGTGGCGATACCTCACGTGTGTGGTTTGAACACCGTTTACATATGTGGGCATGGCCTACGTATGCGTTCACCACTATGTGCGAGAATGGGGGCACTAAACTTTTTTTTTAAAAAATTTATTTAATTGTTTTTTTATTTTCGCACTGTTTCTTTTATAAAAATTGTAATCACTTTTATTCTTAAATCACAAGAAATGCATGCATACCTTGTGATAGAAATGCTCCTCTTCATGGAGAGATATGGGGTCAATAAGACCCCACATCCCTCCTCAGCAAAGTAAAGTATTAGATCAAAAAAAAAAAAAAAAAAAAAAAGCAATGATCTAGTGCTTTAAAAAAAAATTAAAAATGGCCGGAACCGGAAGTGACATTGCTCCATTCCTCCAAGGGCATAGAGATGTGGGCGACCATCTTTCCTTCTCTCATCTCTATGCCCAATGCCGGGATCGATGGTTTCTCAGGTAAGACTGACCTACCAAGCGGCGGCCAGTGGGCGGGCGGTGGCGAGGGGCGGGGTTTTTTCAGCATCTGTATCTGTGCTTTTTTCATTTCAGCCGACAGGGGTGTTTTCGGCCACCGGAATTTCGGTGCATCTCTAGTTGTTTGATAATGAAAAGAAGCAATCACGCATCTACTAGACTGCATCTTGACAGTATAGGGTGAATATGATCCTTGAGACCATAAACTTGAACACTAGTCTATCTGAGCCACCTAGAGATGGTGAAACAAGAGCAGTGGTTGAGAAATAGACTCTCACTGCCCAAACCATATCCAGACAAGTGGACCTGAACAGAAGAATAATGTCCTACTTGATCTGAAAGGCAAAAATCTACCTTAGGCAAGAAAGAAGACTTGGCCCCCAATACCACCTCGTTTCAAAACTAAACCAGCAGGATAACACCACCAGTTTAGACACTCAATTTACAGAAGTGATGCTTACAAGGAATGCCACGTTGTGCACGAGAATAGAAAGGAATGTCTAATGGGTTCAAATAATAGTTTCTAAAGCGAAGAGAACCAGCTTCTGATCCCAAAGAATCACAAACAGGAGCAGCTGCATAGGACAAAAAGGTGAGTGGTCAAAAAAAAAGAAAAAGAAAAAGGGCAGAATTTTGACTTTTAAAAGGTGCCTAGAGCCAAACACTGTTTGAGACCCAGCCGCAGGTAGGAAAGAAAACTGACTCCAAATGAAGCATGCCTTCCATGTCCAATGATAGGACTTGTGGGAAATAGCCTTCCAAGCTTTTAGCATCTTAGGAATCAAACATTCAGAGACACCCATCTCTTGGGCTTCAACATCTAAGCCATTAAACATGAATCAGGATGGCCAATAGATTCCTAAGGGAGAAGATCCTGACAATCTGGAAGAGCCCATAGAACACATGCCAAGAGTTTTACCAGGTGTTTTCGCTTCCACATGGGGACAGTACAGAGGAATGAGAATTTCCAGAATGTCCTCCATCTCGACCCTACAAAGTAGGTGAGAAAAAACTACAAAAGGGTATAAAGGCATAAATTAGAGTGTACTGATTCCATTGAGCCACCAGAGCATTTAACCGCTTCATCTAGAGATAAATCTGTCCAGTTTGTTGTTGAGGTCCACATCCAGCATCCTCACCTGTGACACAAATTCTGGAATATTACCAGCTGTAGAGAACCCTCCCCCACTGGGTCTAAGTGTTATTGGAAGACGGCCTGCCAATTGTCTATGCCTGGGATACAGAGAGAGGACAAGCTAGAATGTGATCCCAATCGACTGACATCTGTTGTAGGATCTTTCAGGAGATGAAATGAATGGCCTTCCCTTATTCCAAAGGCAGATTCCTGAGCCACTAGACTAAGGACAACCTGGTCCTCGAAGCCAAAGGAATCGGTTTGACTTGACTTGTCCCATGACAGAATGCTGCATTGTAGAGGTCTAGAGTGAAGCTGGGCAAATGGGACTGCCTTAAAGGAGGATACCATCAGGCCCAAGACTCATGCAAAAGTAAGATGAACAACTCTTGGACTAGAAAGCTTAAATCTGAGATTGGAGAATCAGAGTTTCTCTTGCAGAAGAAACATTCTGGCCTGATACTCCAAATGATAAATTGGTTCCAGTGAAAATTTCTAAAGGTTCAGGACTCATCCTAACCACTGTAATGCCAGGACAGTCAAAGCCACAGTAACCAAAAGATGCCGCACCAACTGTTCCCTTAAAGTCTAACTCCACCTTTACTGTACCTTTAAATAGTTTGTTTGGGCCAAGCCTCAGTTACATACAGTATGCAGCGCTGCATTCCAGCAGTGGGACAGAAACTGAGCAGTACTCAGCCATTTACAGGAATCATTGTATTCTATGAATGAATGCAAAGCTTATTCTGACTGGCTGAGGAGGACATTGGGGTTACGTGACTTCATCCCCCGATGAAGTCACATGATGATATGCGAGGGGAGGCGCCAGGTGACACGAGAGTCTGAAAACTGGAAGTGCAGCGAGACGCTGTGCGTTTGCAGTCCAAGCTGAGTATCATTGTTTGCCATGCGAATTACTTCTTTTAAAATGTGGGTGCAATAATTTTAATAAATTCTTTTGTGGTTTAAATTACTACTACACTATGGTGGCCTTTATGAGGTTGTGAGTTCAATCCACAGAGCTCATGCGGTGGGTACAGTGAAGGCATTTAAAGATACAGACACCCCAAAATTGGTGGATACAAGAGGAAAGCCAGGACCAGTGAGAGGATTATGGTAGCCCCCATGAAGGGGAAACGTGCTGTCTGACCTATTATAATCTTTAGGTCAATATATGAAGGTGAGGGTCCACCTTGGAATCACGTTTGGAATGGTGCACATATTTTTAAACATTTACAGCACCAGAATAGTAGGATCACGCACCAGTAGGATAATCTGTGACAATTTATATTGGAGTGGAAGAGACTATTACATTCTGAAGAGACTTTATAGAGATTAGTTTGTTTTGTTCACATTAATATATACTTTTGATTTCATTTTATATTTTTACGGTGGGTCAGTATGGTTTAAATTGTTTTATACGAGCAGCGAAACACTTATTGCTTTGAATGTGATGAACTCACATTATTAGTGATTGCAGCAGCTTTGGCACTTTACTCATGTATATTGTTCGGTTAAGAGATTACGCTTAGTGGCAGTGCACAATTGCAATTTAATATAATTCATATACAGGAAGCTCCCTCCATACTCCCCCCCCCCCCCCCCCCCCTCTTCTTTCTACTTCTGTCTCCCTCACAATTATTAATACCCTCTTCTCCCCCTGCCCCCCACTTTGCTCTTTGTAGCTCATGTGATTATCCTTTATCCTGATTGACCAACTTTCAGAATTTTAGGCATTTTTATCCAACTCAACACCTTTAAAGTATAAGTTTAGTCAAAATCTAAGGCTAAAACCTTCTTCCACCCCCATTCTAACACTATTCTATCTGCCCCGTGAAAGAAAAGATGCTTACACGTCTCTATTCTGAAGCTGATCCGGTCTGGGGATCTCTCCAGCGGTGGCTTCAGTGAAGAGGGGAGGTCGCTGAAAAAAGCTGCAAATGCCTATATGGTGATGTCACCGTATAGGCATCTGCAGCCATTGTCAGCGACCTCCCCACTTCACTGAAACCACCGCTGGAAAGATCACAGGACCGGACCAGCTTCAGTCAGATGTCCCTGCTCTACATTGAAGCCAGCACTGGTACTCGATCATGTGATCAGAGCGGCTTCAGAATAGGTAAGTATAAGCATCTTTTCTTTCACAGGGTAGATAGAATAGGGGTGGGAGTAAGTTTAGCTAAAAGTTAGATTTTGACTGAACTTCCACTTTAACCTTGGAATTAAGAAGTGATACACTGACACAAATCCACAAAGCTTCTGCAAGGACACAAATATACCACCTTCTCCTGGACATTAAAAAAAACTAGAACTGTTCCCCTGGGACTTTGTATGGCAAAAACCAAGAGTATACAAAAAATATAAAAATATTTTTACAAAAGATTAACATAATCAAACGAATAGGGAAGATTCAATATAGTAAATTGTAATACAATGATTCCTATATCACATACAAAACATACACAATGTGCATAAAGCCTAACAGTCTGTAATACATCAACTGGCAGATGGGCAAGCAGCCCAAAAAGAACTTGTACAGTGATGTTGTTCAGACAAATCCAATGCATTTTGGAACTCTTATTTCCTTCTTCAGACTAAATTGTGAGGTCTAAAACATAACGTATCAAAGAAGTGTGAACAATAAAGTACATATTTTAAAATATGTAAGAAAAAGCTGATTACTCAAACAATTACAAACTGCACCACATCGGATAATAAATGACAGGTATTCATAGAAAATTGAATGAGGATGCTCTCCAGGTGACACGTCAGGGAGGGAGCAGGCAGAAATGCCCCACTGAGCCATCCACCAACAATGACCACATGGAAACACTCTACAATGTTCTTATATTCTTGTTCACTCCCTTTCTGGAAGGGTTATTTTGTTTGTTTGTATATGGGCCCACATATGCATTCCTCATGATGTCTATCCGGGTTAGACTTATTTTGCCATTTTACTATAGTACACACTGTAACTGAGCCCCTATGCCAACAACCTATTTGTTCGAGCCATACATTATTTACTATATGTGCCAAATAACGAATATTAGACTCTTTAATATGCGGCCCTTATTATACTTGTCAGATCCCCCCATTGGCTACTGCCAGGTGGTCCTTGCTGGTGGATGGCTCAATGGGGCGTCTCTGCCTGCCCCCTCCCTGACGTGTCACCTGGAGAGCATTTTTGCTATTTTTTTTTTTATGGTTTTACCCTGTTTACTGATTTTCTAAATAAAGGTGATTTCTACAGTAATGTGGCCACCCTGACTTCCTTTTCCCTTCTTATGCATCATGTGGCTGGCCAAATGTGTGTTACGTACATGGGGAAGAAATGGCACAAGGATGCACTATGGGAAGTTCAGTCCATGGAGGTCCCACCTCGCCACTAATGCAGGCCATAGACGGGGAGAAAACCGGTTGTTGTTTTTTTTTTTTTTTAAAACGAAAAATCGGTCGTTCAGTCGGCGGAACGTTACCACCATTGTTTAAAAAAAAACCACAATCAGCTGATTTTTGTCCCGTCTACGGCCGGCAAATATAATAATGGTGTCCCTGCAGAGAGCTCCGCTATTATATTTGACATTTAAAAGTATAGAAAAGTTGCAACATTGTATCTATTTGTATCCATTTCGGATACAGATGTTTCTATTCGGATACAAATAGATACAATGTTGCAACCGCTATACTTTGAAATGTCAAATATAATAGTGGAGCTCTCTGTAGGGACACCGCTATTATATTTGACAATTAAAAGTATTGCGGTTGCAACTTTGTATCTATTTGTATCCGAATAGAAATATCTATATCCGAAATGGATACAAAATAGATAGATACAGATGTTCTTCTTTTTGCCTTCATCTTCTTTTTCTTCTTTTCTTGCAGGTCACGGCTCATGCGCATTTTTTTTAATCGGTAAAAAGATCGGCCGATTTGCCCATCATTGCCGTGAAAATCGGCTGATGGACAAAATCGGACGTTTTTTTTTTCCAACATGACCGTTTAAAAAAAAAATGTGTCAAAATCACGAAAAACGGCCAACAAATTCACCCACTAACGATCCAAAAATCGTCCGATTATTCTTTCGGACAAATTTTCAGCCGATTTCCGACCCATCTATGGCCTGCTTTACTGGACTTAGAGGAGCTAAACCCATTAACTTAATGGTTTCAAAACACAGTTACATTCCAGGCATGTGGAGAATGATAACTGTCACATTGCTTGTGCTCTCAACCAAACTCTCAAACCATCAAATGGTTGGTGTTATAAGTGATTACATGCTACATCACTAACCTAGTCTCAAAATACCAACTTAACCTTCTCTTCATTCCTCCCAAGATCTCCTGCTCTCTAGCTCCCTTGTCACCTCCTCCTGTGCTCGCCTCCAGGACGAATTCTGAGCCTCTCCCATCCTCTGGAACTCCCTACCCTTTTAAACGATCTCTGAAAGCCATTCTCTTCAGAGAAAATATACACTGTAAACAAAAGCCACTAGCACATGATGTAACTTGACAAAAGGATTAGTAGCAAAGGCAGGGCAAAATTAGTGGTTAGGCATCTATGAATAATTCTCTTCAGAGACACCTACCCTGCCCCACCTAACAACTGTACTTTTATTTACCTAGTCAAGATTCTGGCTGCAGAATTTTGTATATATTGAAGTTGATTAATTATGGATTTAGGTACACCAGCGAGTAGAGCATTGCAGTAGTCAAGTCAGGAGAACACAAATGTATGGATCAGCTCTTCAGCTACAGTGTATGGTAGCAGCTGAGTAATGTTTCTCAAGTGGGAAAAAAAAGATGTTCTGACAATATTTTGTATACGTGGATCAAAGGTTAAAGTGGAGTTCCAGGCACATTGAAAAACAGCTTGTGGCTTCACAGCCAAGTGCCCACTGCACATGCGCGGGAAGCGCTGCGCTTTCTGGATAGTCCTGTAGTCTTCACATGTCACGTGTCCCAGAAGTCTATGTGGGTGGTCGGGTGGAGGACAACTTCCACTTCCAATGCCTAGGTGATTGCAGCAGAGGTGGGAGCAGGTACCTGTCAACTTCATATGCTAGTCCTTAATGGGGAGCGGGGGACCAGTCTTTAAAGCGAAACTTCCCCTATCGGGTGGAGCTCCGCTTAAAGCTAGTATCAAATATCACCCCTAGATTTCTCCCACTGAGACAGAAGCTAAAATACAGTGCCATTGATAGACAGGCTACCAGGACTGGCCTTATTGATTGGCGGCGTGAGTTCAGTCTTGTCACAGTTTAACTGAAGGAAACTGAGGGCCATCCAGGTTTTTACATCACAAATACAGCTACACTGGGTTCATGTGTGTAGGCCAGTCTTGACAGTACGATTTCAGCCCCCTCCGGTGAGACTGTGCAGCTGTTCAGGTGCGAATTGTCAAAGTAGTATTGCTTTGTACACACGATCATATAATCGGACGACTTATTGTTCATTTTTTGTTGCATGCTAGTCTCAGATCAAAAATGAAGAGGTTAAAGTTCAGAAAACTCTCGTAGCACAGAATACAACTTTGGAAGTAATGTATAGTATCGTATTATAATGTGTTCCTTTGTTCCTGAGCATGTGTGGTCTTCGTCTCAATTTTTTTCTGGACAAACACTGTACAGATTAAACAAAAATAGTTTTCGTGCTTGTCCCTTCAGATATTGTCACATGAACTTTCATGATCGGCTGTTTTATTTATTTCAGGTACTTATATAGCGCCGTCAATTTACGCAGCGCTTTACATATATATTGTACATTCACATCAGTCCCTAACCCTCAAGGGGCGTACAATCTAAGGTCCATAACTTACATTCACATACAGAGGCCAATTTAGACAGGATCCAATTAACCTACCAGCATGTCTTTTGAGTGTGGGAGGAAACCGGAGTACCCGGAGGAAACCCACGCAGGCACAGGGAGAACATGCAAACTCCAGGCAGGTGGTGCCATGGTTGGGATTCGAATCAAGGACTCTAGTACTGCCAGGTGGAAGTGCTAACCATTTAGCCATTGGCTGTTGAAAGCTGTGTACTAATGATCAGATTATCGTGTGATCTCTCCAAAAGCGATTCCTGTCATCAACCCACACATATCTGAACCGGCTCCATTGAAAAGGCTACAGGATTACATGTCATTCGAAACTGATACCATTTAAAACGCATCCAATTTCTGTTTATTTGCTTAGAAGCAGCCGGCGTAGTCTGGTTTAGCGTGGATGTAAGTTTAACTGAACAGGCGCATCTAAAAGTTTTAACCTCCTTAGCGGTTTTCCCGAGTGTAGCTCGGGGTAAAATTTGAGTACCAAGAGCGGTAACCCCGACCTACACTCGGGCTTACCATGTGGCGCTGCTCTGGGGGTCCCTGCAGCACTTACCTTGTCCTTCGCTCCCGCGATGTGTCCCCTGCAGCGTCCCCGGCCATCTCCTCCGGCCAATGCTAGCATCCGTGTTCCGGTCCTTGTGACGTCGGGACGTACGGGCGCCGGAACCAGCGGGAAATTTGAAATTTTAAAAAAATTTCATTTTTGCTGTCATTGCTATTTCAATGCATTTCACATATATTTTGTCCCTACTGCTTTGTCCTGTGCCCTGCCTGCATTTTGAATGTTCTTTCTGCCTGGAAACTTAGAAAAGTCCATGGCGTCCAAAAAGCGTCTCTTTATGTCAAAAGCGGTTTTAGACCAGCTAGAGAACAGCGATAGTAAATCAGAACCACTTGCAGAATTGAGTGATGATTTGTGGGGAAATTCGGCATCAGACACTGAAAACGACGACTTTGCTCAGCGATGTGCGAACTTGGCGCTATATTTCAAATTTCAGTGTTTTTGGTTTGATTATATTATTGAATGTATTATTATATTATTTTTTTATGATTATTAAATTATAATTTATGATTTCGTGTTTCAAATTTTATCCTACCCGGGATGTTTACTAGACTCTTGTTCGGACAGATTTCAGTGAGTTATTCCTAAAAATTACAGCCTACAATAAAAAACTACATATTTCCATGCAAAAAAATGGTACCGCTTTCAGCACAAAAAATCAGAAAGAATCATACCGCCAAGGAGGTTAAACAGCCATAATAAATAATATAAATGTGTGCATTTCTGTTTGCCCCTTCAGCCGTCTCCTCTTTGTGTTCATACAGAGTTGATGAAAGAAGGAACACACTGTGTAGTGCCTATCTGTACAACATGTAGTAAATTCTCGGTAAGCCGTTACTAATAAAGCCCTGTACCCGCTAGCGTCACACTCACCAGATGTGTAGCAGCCAGCCGGTGTCCACTTCACTCAATGATGCTGACCCTCGCCGGTCCCACGTGCTGTGGAAGACTGGAAACCAGCGAGAGCACAACTCCAGCATAGAGCGCCCCCCCCCCCCTCACATCCGGGAATGTGTAGGCCTCTATACAGGCCGAAGCTGACGGACCAGGCGCAGCGTGCGACACCTGCGACGGAAAGGAATGCGCGGGCAAATGCCTGAGCGACAACTGTCTCATACATGTAATGCCATATCACTGTAACATAACTACATTGTCTGTGCGGCGCTCTTTGCATGGCCGTCCCCAACACACAGCCAAGAGCATCCCGCCTCATCTTTTACACTACGCACTGGACACACTAGTCACGTGTTATTTCCGCTCTTCCAACCTGTCAGAAAGGAGACTGTCGCACTAGTTTGACGTCACCAGGGTGCCGCACGTGTTGAACAGCTGCTTAAAGGAGTCGCGCGCGGAAGAGAGGTGAGAGAAGCTGGTGTGAAGTACGTGTGTGGAGGTTAGTGCCTAGTCACCGAGGACGGGGTGTGTATATATAAAAATATATAGGGAGCATCGGTACGCCCTACACTTTGCTGCTCTACCGGTGTCCTATTACCGCTCTAGTGTCGTTTCCCTGACCCGAGACTCTTCTATTTGCATGAGGCTTTGTGTACGCTGGGCTTTAAAAAAAAAAAAAAAAATCGCTGCTTTTACAGCTGTTCAGTGGTTTGTTTTTTTTTCCAGGCTTTATGTTGGTCTGTGTGCCCATGTGCACATAGGTGTTTACAGGTGTATTAGGCCTCACACACTGTAATACCTCACACCTATGCAGGTTGCATTTGAGCCATTCTGCGTTGTGTTTTTGCACTTGCATTTTTGATACGTTTTGATTTTTAATTTTTCTTGTTGCTAAGAAGATTTAAGACGCCAAATGCATCAAAAAACACAATATACTTTTCTGCAGCATTTCCATTGAATTCTATAGAACCAACAATGCAGTGTTTTGCATTAAAAAAAAAGTGATCCTGATCCTTTAATAAAAAAATGCGTTGGGTGAAAATGCACAGATGTGAACATGTGCTATAGGAAATCCTGTTGAATGAACTGTACTGCATTTCTGCCAAACGCTGTGTGAACCTAGGGTAAGCTTAATGCGGTAGTAAACGCTGCTGTAAAAGTTGTTTTTTTTAGGGCTCGCCAAGTGGGTTATGCCGTAATGTATTCGTATACACAGTATATAAGTACATTACGGCCGACTTACCTGTCAAATGGTGCCCTCCAGCACTGCAGTTGGATCGATCTGGCTCTTCTGTAGTGGATTGTGATAGACAGTCTACATTCTATTAGATGATCAGTAAAATGACAATTTTATAGTCTTGCTACTTTCTGCTTCTTGCTGTTTAAATTCCTTACACTCTTAAGTAAACAATCAGATATAGGTTGACAGAACAATGATGATAATTAAGATGGCGCCTTCATCTGGAGTCACACCCTAGGTGACTCATTAGGAGAAAAGTATCTTTTAATGTAAACAACCTCCATAAAAGGGAATGAGACTTTTTGGGGACAATGATTGAAAGATAACAACACGGATGGAAGAACACGCAGAAACCCAGTGGACTTTTCACCAGGGTGGATAAAAATCAATGATTTTTTTTTTAAAAAATCAGATTTTTTTTTTTTTTATTTAAATCAGATTTTTTTTATTTAAATCGGATTTTTTTTTTAAATAAAATGCTTTTTGAGGAAAATATATTACCATCCAAAGGTTATTCCATCATGAAATAAAGATTTAGTTTTTTAATTATGTAGAATAAGGCTGTATATGTTTATTTATTTTGGTAAATAAATTCCATTAATCCATTCACAATGTCATGCTCTTCCAGAGGTTTTTGTAAGATTATTGGGCAGTTTCTCTGCCTACAAGATATTATCACAGATGCTTGGTTTACTTTTGCAGTTCTCAAAACTGAATTTGACTCAGCGGAGATCACATGCCTCTTCTTCACAGCAAAAATGTTATAACATGAACAGAGTTAAGAAAAAGACCTTAATCCTAACTTCTACAAACCTATGAATACAGAATCAACCCCTTCAGTGCTAAGTTTCAAGAAGTTCAGTGAATAGAATAGAAACAATATTTTTCTGATTGTTTGGAGTGGAATAGATCTGCACAAGAAGAAAGTGACACTAAGTGTGAGGAGGAAGGGGCTGACAGTCTAAGTTTCTTAAAATATATATATTTTGTTTAGCCAAATTAGTTAACAAACATGGATGTTTGTTTAAGCAAATAACATATGCTGTAATGTTATTGTTTCAGTTGAATAAATCTATTTAAATTGTTATTATTAAGGTAAGGATTATTTTTCTCCTTTCTAAGTACAACAGAAAAGTTGTCCAATATGAATGATTAACCTATTAAACTGGGGATAAAAAAAACTAATATGAAAAGTTGTTATTCTAAAAATCTTCATCTACTTGCATATTAAAGTTATACCAGCAAGAATTAGTCTTTATGTAGAAAACTAGGATTTAAATCAAGCCTTACTGACTAGTGATTTAAATCGTGATTTAAATCAGTTTTGATTTAAATCAAATCCACCCTGCTTTTCACCCAATCAATGTATATGCTTTGCCTGCATCATAAGCCCTATAAATGATACTGTTAGTTCCTCAATAAAACAGAATTTTAGGAAGTTGGCAAACTGCAAACAGTGTCAGTGTCTTGCTTCCACGTGCACGTAATTTTATATTAATTTGGCTCACTGGTAGATCACGGTAAATGGTCTGTAGGTGACCTAGTCCAAAACACTTCTTCCGGGTCCCTTGCCTTCAGCCTTTCAATAGGCCGAGCTGCGATGATGTCACATCCACACAGGAGTCACAGGACTGCTTCGCCATTTCCCCCCACGTGCCTAATGCAGGCCATAGACGGTTCATTTATTGGCCGATTATTCGTCCGATAAACGAAACATCAGTCGTTCTGTTGCCACCAAGGATTGCGAAAATCGGGCGTTTTTCGCAAATTTTCCAGCATGAACGATAAAAGAAATGAGGAACCGCGAAAATCAGCCGATGACATTGCCCCACCAACCGTGCGAAAATCAGCCGATTATTCTATCGGATGAAAAATTGGCCAATAAACGAACCGTCTATGGCCTGCGTTAGTCTTCATGCACACTGGATGGTTTTTACAGCTGCTGTTTTTGGCTTTTGATGTTTTTTTTCTACAGCCAGTAAACTCCCCAGCATGTTATCCTATGTAAACAAAAACATGCAGCACTATACAGAAGTACAACTGACCATAGAATTAACCTCCCTGGAGGTATTCCCGAGTGTAGCTCGGGGTAAAGTTTCAGTACCACAAGCGGTAACCCCGAGCTACACTTGGGCTTATCATGCGGCGCTGCTCCGGGATCTCTTCTTCACTTACCTTGTCCTGCGCTCCCGCGATGTCCCTCCTGCAGTGTCCCCGGCAATGTAATCCGGCGGATGCCGGCATCTGTCTTCTGCGTTCCGTCCCCTGCGACGTCAGGACGTACGGGGACAGAACGGCTGGAAATTTGAAAATGACAAAATGTGACATTCACTAAAATCACTAAAATCACATAGTAAAACATTACTGTATCAAACCATTTCACATACATTGTGTCCCTAGTGCTTTGTCCTGTGCCCTGCCTGCATTTTTACTGTTCTTTCTGCCTGGAAACTGAGAAACGTCTATGGCGTCCAAAAAGCGTCCTTTTAGGTCAAAAGCGGTTTTAGACCAGCTAGAGAACAGCGATAGTAAATTTAAAACCGCTTGCAGAATTGAGTGATAATGATTCGTGGGGAAATTCGTCATCAGACACTGAAAACGATTCTGCGACTTTGCTCAGTGATGTGCGAACTTGGCGCTATATTTCAAATTTCAGTGTTTTTGGCTTGATTATATTATTGAATTAAATTTATTATTATTTTTTATGATTATTAAATTATTATTTATGATTTCGTGTTTCAAGTTTTATCCTACCCGGGATGTTTACTAGACTCTTGTTCGAACAGATTTCAGTGAGTTATTCCTAAAAATTACAAGCCTACAAAAAAAATATACATATTTCCATGCAAAAAAATGTACCACTTTGAGCACAGAAATATGGACATAATCAGACCGCTAGGGAGGTTAATACATAAAAATTATAATGTTCAATAATGTGCAAAAAAATAATAATAATAAACCAAAATGTCTTTAGTGCAATGAAAGTTAAAAAAAATGAAGATACTTAAAAAATTCGATGTCTCCAAAAATCTAAAAATGCAATCTGTGAAACAAAAGGAACCTTCTTGAGAATCCACCAGCACCTCAAAAAAAAAATACTGCTGCTTACCAGACATATATGACCCCACAATCAAGTGGCGGTCTAAAATGCATGTGTTGAATTGATGAACTCCGTTAACGCTGCCTCTGTAGGGATACGGTGCACTCCATACATTGGATGTAGTTGGACATCAATAAAATCACTCTTAATGGATTCCCAAATCAAGGCATATGCTCCCAAAACGATATTCCAAATATAAATCTAAAAATAATGAATTCTCCTCAGAGGACAAAATCATCCAAAAAGCAAAAGAATCCTCTTTGCGTAGTATAGTAAGCAAGGTTTATTGCCTTACAGCGTAGTATTATACTTACATCAAGATAAATATAAACCAGCATGTCACCATATAACCAAATGGTAAGTTTCTAACCAACAAGACGGCCGCTGCACTCCATTTTGTTTATTTAGTTTATGTATTCTATGTGTCCATGCACACGCAGACTGTAATCAACTTTTTTTGGCAGGAAAAAAAAAATCCAGGACTAGTGGGTTTGTAGAGGAGATTTTTAGTTGTAAAAATGCTGTAAAGCTGAAAAACGCGGCAAACCAGCATTTTGGGATTTTTTTTTTTTGGTTTAAAAAAACCTCTAAAAAAACCGTCAATGCGGCAAAACGCTAATACAAAACTAAAAAACACTGAAAAGCTTGCGTTTTTAACGTGACTTTACACCGCTAACGTTACCAGCATTATTAAAACGCCCAGTGCATGAGCAGTAAATGTTTTTATTTTAACCACTTGCCCTCCAGAGGATTTAGCCCCCCCCCCCCTGACCCCCCCCCCCCCCCCCCCCCCCGCTTCCCCCTTCCTGACCAGGCCATTTTTTGTGATGCAACGCTGTGCTATTCCAACTAGTAATAGCATGGTCGTGCTATGCTATATCC